TCCTCCTGCCTTCCTCCCCCTCCTCCTCCTCCCTCCTCCTCCTCCTTCCTCCCCTTCCTCACCGCTCTCTCTGACTCTGCTGTAGGAACACTCCCGGCCGGAGTATGAAACGAAGGTGCGCGAGAAGTTGTTGAAGGAGGGGGACAAGTCGGCGGTTCAGAAGCTGGACGGCAGCGAGGCCGAAGAGGAGGACGAGGTAGGAGGCCGGCCCTCCCCGCCCCGCACTCTGGGCTTGCGGAGACCCGGGGCCGCGCGGGCGCGCACGGGCACGGGCGTGGGGGACACCCTGCGGGGCAGGCCTCCGCTCCACGGCGACTGGGCCCACGGGACGCTGGCTCTCCACCGCTCTCAGCGGGCCGCGAGGTCGAGTTCCATCCCCGCCGGGCGTCTGTGGGTTGGTGTGGCCGTCAACTCACGATCAAGAGACGGTCCTCTGTCTGTAGATGAAGTCAGTGGTGCGGCTGGGGTCTCCGTGTGGCGCCCTGCGCTAGGCCAGCGCCCCCTGTCGGCTTCCCGGTGCACGGGGGGGGGGATAATGGAAGGGCCTTGGGGACAGGGGCAGGGCAGACGCACCGTGGAGGCCCGTGGGGCTCGAGCTGGTCGCCGGGTGTGTCTTGCGTTTTGTTTTTCTGGATGAGGCTGAAAGGAGAGAAATGGGCTGGTGAGTGTGTTCTCTGAGGCTTGTCTGTGCTGTGGTCTGTAGACTTTCTAGTGTGAATGAATATGTGGATGAATGTGTGTGTGTGTGTGAATGAGTGTGTGTGTGTGTGTGAATGAGTGTGTATGTGTGTGAATGAGCGAGTGTGTCTTCTCTGACAGACCCTGTCTCCGAGCGCCGCCTTTGTTGGGCTCAAAGTCGCGTTTGCTCAAAGTCGAGAATCTGATTTCTGAAAACAAAACCCGATCGACGGGGTTGAAACAAAGAAATCCCTTGGCTTTGTGAGTCTTCAGCTTCCAGCTCAAACTTCCTCTGGTCACGTTCCTTAAATTTCCACATCAGTGTGCAAATGTATGCATGCATCCGAGACAGAAAAATGTAACTTTTTTTTTTCTTTTGCCAGTTCCGGGCCTTGAACTCAGGGCCTGGGCACTGTCCCTGAGCTGCTTTTTGTTCAAGAATAGCACACTACCACTTGAGCCACAGCACCACTTCTGGCTTTTTCTGCTTATGTGGTACTGAGGAATCGAACCCAGGGCTTCAGGCATGCGAGGCGAGCGCTCTACCACTGAGCCACCTGCCCAGCCTAGAAAAGTGTCATATGTTTGAGGTCGCCATACCAGAAAGAGAAAAACGAAAACAGGAGTTAAGCAGGAGATAGACAGACTCAGAGAGAGAGATAGAGAAAGAGAGACAGAGACAGAGAGAAACACACAGAGACAGAGACCCTGTGCCAAAGAGACACACAGAAGCCCTCTGAATAAATCTTTTCCCTAGTTGAAGAGCAAGACCACGTCCCAGACCACCAAACGATTCAGAGACACCGAATTCACTCTTAGAGCATGTAGAGTGCTGGTGTTACACCTTCCTCAAAAAGCAAGCCTGGAAGGGGCTGGGAAGGTGGCTCAGTGGTAGAGTGCTTGCCTTGCATGCCTGAGGCCCTGGGTTCGATTCCTCAGTACCACATGAGCAAAAGGAAAAAGCCAGAAGTGGCGCTGTGGCTCAAGTGGTAGAGCGCCTGCCTTGAGCTGAAGAGCTGAGGGACAGCACCCAGGCCCAGAGTTTAAGCCCCACGATCAGACCCCCCCCAAAAAAAACCCACAAAAAGCAAGCCTGGAGGTAAACAGACAATCACCACCACCCCACCCGACTTCCTTCCTCCACCCCAGGGCCGCACACACTGGATGGTTTTCTGGGAATCCGACCTAACTGTTATTGACCACCGCTCTCATTTAATTTTAATTCCACGGCCGGGAAGAGGGAGGAAGGCTGGGGTTGGCGCCCGTGGAGGCGGTGGCCCCGGGCGAGCGTGGCGTGGGTGTGCCCGCACGGAGGGGCAGGTGACTTTCAGGAACTCTGAATAATTGAACAGCCTCGGTCTGCATTATGCATGTGCAGCTCAGCGCTCGCTGCTGTGTGTGTGTGTGGGGGGGGTGCTTTTTCCTCTCACCACCCTGTGGAGACCACAGGGCTGGAGGCCCGTGTGCACAGGGGCGGGTGAAACCTGGCCTGGCAAGATGCTTCTAGAACCCAATCAGTGCTTCTGAGCTTGCTGCACATCTACCTTGCCAGTGGGTGAAGTGGGTGCAGGTGATTGCAGTGGCCGGTGGCCGCCTCCAGGGGGTGCCGTGGGGGGCACATTCCCCCCCCCCCTTCTCCCTCCCTCCTGGTGGCCACAGACTGGGACTAAGAACCAGAGGCTGGCTGGTGGCCCAGAGGTGGGCTGTGTTCACCCCAAAGGGTCACCCCGTTTCTGCCTTCACAGTGACCTCCGAGGGTGCCTCTCCCCACTTCCCCGTGGCAGGATCAGAGAGGCCCAGGCTGGTGTGGGAAGCTCCCCTGGTCCCACGGCCGGTGGCGGAGCCGGGAATCCGCCTTCCCAAGGCGGATTGCATTTATGCGTTTATGTATCTACTTAGGTCGGTCCTGGGGCTCGAACTCAGGGCCTGGGCGCTGTCTTTGAGCTTTTGCTCAAGGCTGGCGCTCTACCACTTTTGAGCCACAGCGCCACTGCCGGTTTTCTGGTGGCTTATTGGAAATAAGAGTCTTATGGACTTTCCTGCCCGGGCTGGCTTTGAACCTCGATCCTCAGATCTCAGCCTCCTGAGTAGCTGGGATGACAGGCGGGAGCCACTGTGCCCTGCTGTCTTAGGAGCTCTTTATTCAACCTGCACACGTCTTAGTTCTCAGATAATGCACCGTGCCCATGTTTTCTCTAATTCTGTAGATTCGCTCTCTCTCTCTCTCTTCTCTGTCTCTCTGTCTGTCTGTCTGTCTCTGTACTGGGGTTTGAACTCAGGGATTTGTGCTTGCAAGGTAGGGGGGGTGGCCTTCCAAGAAACTTTCTCTAGAACCCGTTCTCTGGGCAGACTTTGTGAGCAGAAGCGTCCCTGGCGCCTTCCGGGGAGGAGAGGGCGCGTGGTCATTCAGATCTTCCCCGTGGGACTGGGGTGCTGCGCGGCTCCTGAGCGTTGTTACGGGGAGTGCAGAGCCAGAGGTGTCTGGGGTGTTGATGGGGCGCCCTGCCGGTTTATGGGGAGCACAGAGCTGGGAGGGGTGTCAGGGGGGGCGCACTGCCGGTTCAGCCCCAGGGACAGTGGTTTCCAGAGAAAACGCACCTGCGGTGAGGGCGTGAGAACCTTTGCCACAGACACCATGGCAGGGGCCGGATGAGGGGGGAGG